TTAAACCCATTTCCTACCCGAGCTTCACAGAAGAGGTATCAAGAAGAGCTTCTATGGCAGCTGCTCGAACTGCGGTTCAAAATCACGCTTTGGAGATTCTCTCCACGATAACGCGACCTTTCCATGTGCGATTTTATCGAATACCACGTACGCTTGAAGAATTATGTAGGGAGTTTTCATGTATAATAATAATAATAATGCCTTTTATTGAATTAAATAAACTTAATTACAACGTATTAATAAAATATGTAAGGTGGGGTTCAGATGGCACATCAAAAATGTGCCCCTGCTCACACCCAACCCACTAACGAAAATTTTATTACAAAGCAAAACGCACATAGCGAGCAATGTCACGGCAAGGGAGAATAGTTAAGGAAAAAAACTATTGATCTCTCATTAGCAAGTTGGCAAGGGTAGACTTAAAGGCTCTGAGAGATAACATCTTTAGGTCATCAGGCAAATCGTTGTAAAGTACACAAATCTGGTACGTGAATGATCTTCTGAATAGTGACAACTTATACTTAGGAGGAGAAATTCTACCTCTGAACCTCGTATTCAGATTGTGCACATCACAACGATATCTTGTTTTGTTTGTCCAGTAGGAAGACCACTAGTCAAAATCTTATAATAGAGACAGAGCGTTAGCAATTTACGTCTATTGAACATACTTAACCACCCAATGTCACGAAGTTTATGCGAAATACGAGCATACTATCGAATACCGTATACAAACCTCAAAGAAGCATTCTGCACTCTTTGAATGCGTAGAGTATCAATACTATCAATTGAGGCATGGTAAAAAGCGCAGCGCAGTAGGCAAAATGAGATAGAACCAGTGAATCACACAGCTGCTTCTTTAGTATTAACGGCAAAGAGCGATGATGAGGGTATAAAGCACAAAGACTGGCATATGCTCTACGCATAAGTAACGAAATCTGCTCTTTATATCTAAATGAGTTATCCATGATAACACCCAAGTTTTTTTACACTTTCACTTATCGGAATAGTAACATTAATAATACTAACTGTTTGGTAAGCGATTTGATCACCAACGAACTACCGAATAAAATTGCTTGAGACTTAGAAGGATTCAAGTGGAGATTATACTTTAGTGTTAATTTGTATATTTGATTTAAGTCACTATTTAGGTTCTGGAGAGCTGTTTGCCAGTTGTCCGGAGCAAAAGGCACATACAGCTGCGTATCATCAGCGTACATATGGCCCGTGCAGTACTTTAAGTCCTTCAATAACTTCGAAGTGTATATAGAAAACAACAGGGGTCCGTAAAGATTTAATGTGTCTATGTTAATATCATCTATACCGGTAGACTTTGATGTTATTGAACGTAATATTATTCTTATTTCATTAATATCCACATTTCTAAAGCGAAATTCAATTTGATCTTTAATTTCAAAGGCATCTAAATCTGCGCAATCTGTAGAATCGACTCGGGAGCTTAGACCAAGAAAAAATGTGTTTATTTCATCTGGATTATCCAAGCCCGGCGGAAGCGCCGTTGTAGACCGGCTACAAATACCCCCCCATCCTAGATCATTCCACAACTTCCTTGAGCTATTATGACCAATATCAACCATCAAATTACTAAAGTAAGCTTTTTAGTAGTTAAATTTCTTAGTCGTTTGTACTTTTGCCAATCTATATCACGTTTATAAAGCCATACAAGGAAGATAGGGCTTAGTAAATTTTCTGATAATTAAAGGAGCATGTACATTTAGCAAGTTTAAAATGGAATGTGTAAAGAAAGAAACCTTATCATCAATGTTAGGCATACGAAAAATAAAATGTAGGGGAAGGTCACACAGATCAAGCAAAAAAGAATCTATGTCAATAGACGCCAACACACGGTATGATTTTAAAACAGGCTCTCTCAAAGGAGATTATATACCATGTTGTGATCACTAAAACTACGGTCAACATCATCATTGTTTATCGCAAGGGACGGGTTTGTTGTTATTATCAGATCCATTAATGTAGATGAAAGTCTCGATATGAAAAGCCTCCAAACCCACCTTAACTTTAATCTACAATTGTTCAATTCCATTGCCTTTTGGAGTAGCCCCATACTTAAATCCATCCTTTATAAACATTCCTACCATCCCTAGTATATGTAGGGAGTTTCATTAAATACCATACAGTTGACATTTTCCGGAAAAACTAAAGGTGATAAACGATTTTTTATGGTACAATATTTGGTCTAATAAAAATACAACTTGAACCATTTTCAAATTAGATGAGAGTTTTCTAATTTGATGCGCACTGTACAGCAGTCGGTAGAATAAGGTTCAATGAAATGGAACTTTCTTTATCTGCACCGTTACATTTAAACATCGCTCCCACGGTCGCTACAGCTGATAGTTTACCTTCTGGTATAAGAAAATTACTAGTCCAAAAACGAATAATGGAGAATAAGCACCCCAGAGACTCAAAGTATTTGAAAGAAGGTCAAAGGAAAAGTGAAAGACTCCGAATCTTAGGGAAGGATATCATGGAAGTAAGTAAACACCATTCAAGAAGTCAGAATATTGCCAAGGTTGAGGTTGTAAGGCATAAATGGGATCAGAAGATGTTAATGACGTTAACTTCTGTTTTTGGAAATAAACATAAATTTTCATTGATATCCAAACTTTCTCTACGTTAATTTATTCTTTAATCTTAAAAATAGATAAAAAAGTGAGTGTCTGTGTTACCATCGAATTAGCGATGATTAAAATTGAGTTTTAAGAGTTCACAAAAGAGTTTTATATCACTAAGTGTAAAGACTTGAATATTTATTCAAAATGGAACGGATTAATTTACTTAAAGTTCTTACAAATCTGACCGAACAAAATTTGTATGGCATAATTAATTTATGAATAGGAAACAGGTTAACATATCGAATATATATAGGAAATGATACTTTCAGTTTAAATATATAAAAACATTGAAAGCAGCATAACTTACACCCTTTCTTCTTAAATATTTGCTAGGAATAAATATCGTTTTACTTTGGCGTATCATTGCATATCAAAGATATATTATAACTGTGTAAATATTTATTCTCATGACTGTCGGTAGGGCAAACGGTTATAAATAATTTAGGGGACTTGACGCATCGATTTTGGGGCCGCCGTCTGAACCGGCCCAAAATTTACATTGCTCGGTCGAGGCCGAGAAGAAAAACACCCACGCAGACGTGGAAAAATAGGCCCATCTACCGAGATTTGCGCAACCGATTTATGTGACCAATAAATTGAATACAAGTGGGACGTTTCTACGGTTTAGGCCCCATTAACATACACCGGAAACGCGACTTTTACAGGTGCCCTGAATACAAACTACCCTCACGTTTCGCCCGTTTTCGGGTACAGTGTATCTACGATGACTTTGCATTTTGAACGGGCCACTTTCAGAAAAGCCTCCTTCAGTGATAAATAAACGGTACAAAACGATTCTACAACAGTTTAACGCAGTTAAACTCAACGTTAATTACTTTCTGTTTATTCTTGAAATTAGTTTCCATGTAAATATATGTTAAAGCATGTAATAAATATTGTAGTTTGTTAAATTCAATTTTGGGAAGTTTTAATGTTACCACAATGTAATAAATAAAAAATTAAATGTTTTATAATTACATATACATAAAATAAACATATGTTGCTTTTGTTATAATAATACCTATATGTGTGATTATTGGGAAATATGATTATAATTATTTACATTCTCTATCGTTATTTTTAGCAACAGCGAGATCGTGTGAGAATAAAAGGTGAACTAGCGTGCGAATGTAAATTTAATCCTATTTAAATGATATACAAAATTCAGAATTTGTGATGAAAATCTGTATTTATTTAATTTTATTTTGTAACCCGTCATTCGATTTAAAAAAGCAGCTTTTGTTGGGGTCTGCATTGTTCCATGACTTTTTCAATTAGATACTCATCCATTATAACTTGTAATAAACTAGTTCGAATGGTATTGAATAATGTAGCAGCAGTTTTTCATACAATAAAATACTGATGAAGTGTAAAAGTATATTTTTGATACCTATTCATTTTATTCAATATTAAAAAAGAATTCGTATTTTTTTATTTGTTGTATACATTGTGTTCATTCTATCTCAAAGTGATAAATTGTGGTAGTTTAAGTTTTAACTGTAGTTACAAATAAGAAGATAATGGTGGCAATTTAAACTCAACTTTTTAACGGTGACCTTAAGTTAAGGATGAAGTGTATTTCACATTTTTAAGCATTCACTGCCGCTAAAAATTTATTGCTACTAAAAGTTTACACGCGGATGCAGTTTGCCCAACAAACCAGCGATAAAGTGTCCACATCCTTCCACTCTTCTTCTACTTCTTCGACACACCCTCTGTTTTCGAACTAAGACTTTACGCGCATAAGACCACGCAGAGTTTCAAATTTTTACACCCGACCCGTAAAGCCGGTTATGGCTCTAATATGCCACGTCGATGTTTCCGTTCTAGAGCCATTTTCCTCTTCGCGTGTGCGCCTCCTTTCGAAACGCCACCTCAGTGATCGGTTTTATTAAAAAGTTTTTTCGCAGAACGGATTCTTTGTTTTGCCGGGAAGAAACGGATACCGGGACTTTCCGGTGAAGGGGGCGCACGTGCGTGTAATAACCTCGGACCTTCTATATTACTTCCAAAGACACGCTTCGGATGGCCCACTTAAAGATTTCAAATTGAAAATCGAGAATTTTTCTTGATATTCAGCGATTTGAAAAACCTTCTGTTTTCAAGTATGAACCTATTTTTAAATAGTTATCAAATCTTATTTTATATTAAAGATTAAAATTTAAAATGACGTAGTATATTTACGTTTTCTAACAATTGATAACATAAAATAAACATTAATAAAATAGTTTATGAATATCACAATTGTTAAGAAAATTTGTTCTATTATTATGAATATGAGAAGTATTATCTTATCATTCATCATAAAATATGGTCTTATTATGCTTAAAATACGTCGAGAATTTCAGAAAGTTGCAGTACATTTTAGTCTATTAAATGTAACAACGCAATACAAAAATGTTTAAATACGTTTTGTGTTTTCTAGTGATTTTTCAAGTTATTAATCAAATACAAACTGAATCTGTTCTTGTAAAAGCTTTAAAACCAAGTATTGACACGGATTTGTTATCATCCGCAGGTCAAGGTAACTGTTTTTTAACACTTTTTATTTACCATACTATTTTTAAAAATTTTTAGCTGTTAAACGCATTGTTAGATCTATTCCAAATGAAGAATTATCTTGGACTAGCAGTTTAACGGAAGCGGAATATGAAGTAGCCAAACAAGAAAGAACCGGTGGTGTCATCGGTTCGAAAATAGATATCTTCACTTTAGTCATTGCAGTTATTGCAAATCTGGTTCAAATAGTTATGAAACTCGTCGCTCAAAATTACTTAGGGTTGCTTTATAATATTGCTGGTATTGTCGAAGCATTCATTCTTTTCTTTTATGGAAATTAAAAAGTGATAAATTGAAATGTTTAAGTTAATATTTGTTTTTGTAATTTTTTATAGTTTTAAGTGTGTTATTAGATAATTGATGTAAAATAAGTTAATAAATATAAGAAACAATGCTTTTTGTTTAATTTCCTGAAATTACCACAAGTTTTAGAATTTATTTAGAGTTGAATTCGTAGAGAAATATGTAGATTTCCAAGAGTTTATTATATCGTTTCGATTGCTGAGACACCACCATCAATTCGACGATTAGCAATAAGACAATTTCCTGTGCTGTTCCAAGTTGGAAATGTTACAGACGAAATTGGACACCAACATCCGCATACATATTGATTTCAGCGTTACCATCCAAGACATCGACACCCCCATAACAACTTGATGGACCAACTTCTTCCCCACTAGATTATCTGTTAACTAAACTCCACTTTCTGACTACCTAGCCTTCCGAAGGCAGATGCGTCCCTATGCTTATAAGAAGGAGCAATGAAAATTGATTGCCACATGAAAATCCGTACTCAACTAGCAGAAGAGATTTTGACCGCCAATCCACTGAATATCACTAAGAAATGCAAAGAACTCTATATTCCCGTAGCTTCCCTTTTTCCTGAAATCATTTCTCATTGCTCAAGGAGTCGCGTGACGACGTTATCTTTTAAAAGAGTTTGTAAAAGATTGAGACAACTAAAAGCATTGGGGTTGTATTAAAATATTCTAATTAAAGCAAAAAAATTAACAGTCTTGGGAACAGGATATTTGCAATTAAAGAATGTTTTGTTAAAGTTTCTGGAAAAGCTGAAGCAAAACAAGGCAAAAATAGGAATGGTACTACTGAAGTTGAATACCTACAATAGAAAACATACCTAGTCCTACTAAGCATCTACTCCTCCAATAATAACCAATAGATTTCTAAAGATCCTGCAGAATCATGTTAGAAGTGTGGAATATTGGGAACCAATCATAATGGGCTGTAATTAGGGAATGATGCATCCCAAGATTATATTGTATGACGTAGATAAGATTACTGACAATTTTAAAACGTTAACGAAAGTTGGTTTATGAAGGAGTTGTTAAAGTTATATAATTCTTATGTAGGAAAAGTGTTATGTATAAAAATAGTTTTTAGAAATGAAGTTACAAATAATGTTATCTAGGAAACATTATGATGATCATGCATAATTTCCGGATCTCTAATAGGCGTTGAATCTAAATTGAAGTACTCACTAGGGGTTCAAATTCTGTGTAGTCACATTTCTCTCTTACAAAATCGTGTGACAGCATAAGCGCCGAGACATCCTCAAATCTACAGAAAATAGCTGGAAGAAGTTCTGCCAAAAGCAGTTTTTATAGTCAAAATAGATCCGAATCGGTAAAGAGAAGACACTTACTAGAAACTACTAAAAAACAGTTGAATACAGATTATATTATTAATTCTAATAATAAAACAAGAGCGTCTTGACACCTAATAAACCGCCTTCAAGGTAAAGCTACCACAAGTAATATAAAGCCAGCAGATTTTGAAGCTACAAATGAGCAGTTCTTAAATATTCTGACGGAAATAAATGACTATTTTATAAAGATTTGTCAAAATATTGATAACAATGTTGGGTACCACCTAAATATTCATTATCAACCGTCAGTGGGCCACACTTTCTCATTGTATTTAACGGACGAAACTGAAGTCCTACAAATAATAAATAATTTAAATAACACAACAGCAACGGGTGAAGATATAATACCTACGAGCGTTCTAAAGCATTCTGCAAGGTACTTAGTTAAACCGCTAACGCATATAATAAACACATCCTTCGCTGATGGCTGTTTTCCGGATGAGTTAAAAAAGACAGTAATAATCCCAATCTATAAAAAAGGAGATAAGTCCTGCTATGATAACTATCGTCCAATAGCACTTATATCGAATCTTGCTAAAATTTATGAGAAGCTTGTACACAACAGAATTATAAATTATTTAAATAAATACAATATATTGCACGAGAATCAAAATGGTTTTCGGAAGGGAAGATCCACCGAACATGCGAATCAACTGTTGGAAAATATCATCTTGGGATTAAATGAAAAACAGGCCACAACCGCATTGTTCATGGATCTTACAAAAGCCTTTGATAGTGTACATCACTCAATCCTTTTGACCAAGTTGGAGAGACTTGGCTTTAGAGGTGTTAGCTTGTCATGGATGAAATCCTATCTATGAGGGAGGTTACAATGTGTAGTTGCCCGCAATGAACAGGGAACAGAAATAAGATCAGCTTGGTGAGAAGTCAAGCTGGGAGTACCTCAGGGTTCCATATTGGGTCCTCTATTGTTCCTCCTGTATATGAATGATTTACCACGTGTAACGAACAAAATTACGATAATGTTTGCGGATGACATAACAACTGTGGCGAGGTTTAGCACTGATTATGAAATCCAGAAATCACTTACTGTGGATCTGAATAAACTTGCGGATTGGTTTGAAGCGCACAACATAAAGTTAAGTACAAAAAAACGAAAATTGTTAATTATCATTTATGCTCTGACCAGATCAAGGCGAGGTATCGGGATACTGAGATTGAAGATGTTGAAGAGATTTCGTTTCTGAGTTGGAAAATGGATCCTGGACTGTCTTGGACCAATCATATTGATTTCCTTACTGGCAAGATCAGTCATTTCTCCTATGCCATTCGGATTATTTCCAGATCAGCTAGCATTGAGGCAGCATTAAGTGCCTATTATGCTTATGTCCATTCCTTGCTAAGATATGGAGTTGTCTTTTGGGGCCGTGGTGTTGGTATAGATAGAATCTTCATACTACAGAAGGGGTGTGTAAGAGCAATCTTTGGTTAAAAAATACTGATAGCTGTAGAAGTTACTTTAAAGACTATAAATACCTACCTTGTATGGAATTTATATTCTGGAATGTGCTGTATTGGTTAGGAAGAATTACTTTGAATTTTTCAAAAAATATGAAATATCACATCCTCGAAACACGCGCGGGAAGGTGAAGTGCTATTTGGTGCCACCAAAAACGTACCTTACTAATTGTAAGATTCAGAAGACGGCTCTGTACCAGAGTATCAAGATCTTCAATCACATTACGGAAGGTACAAAGATCCTGCCAGTTCCAGGATTCCGGAGAAGACTGAGAGCTATTGTCACGGAAAATCCGATGTATACCATTGACATGTTTTTCCAATTTAATGTTTGAACTTAATGTGTATTATATTACAATGCAATTATTGTTAAATTGACGTGTTCTACGCTTTTTTGGTAAACGGGGGGGAATAAAGTATTATTATTATTATTATTACTATGGATGATCGCTCACTATTGAATGGATTTCCGCCTTTATCAGTCACATCCAACGTCTCGTCATCTCGTCTCCTATTGGACAGTCTCCACTATAGAAAAATCAAATCTGTTTATCACACTGGCATGGCAACAAAAGTAGTCTGTTTTAATGGTTGTCTTGGTAACCATTCGACAAGTTCATGCCAAATCAGGACTCATAATTTCTAGAAGTGTTTTCTAAAGCAATTTTATAAGTCTTCCACCATCAAAGGGATACTTCTATTCAGATAAAATCACTTTTTTGTTCTGTTCTAGGTGTGTATATGGCCTTACTAGCTAAAACGATATGTTCAGAAAAAACTCATTTCTAGGGAAGGGAGTCAAAACATACTTCCAAACGGTTGATAAGTTCTCTAGATGATCGATAGCTTTGCTATTGAGGTATTGAGGTGGGAAGACAGTCTACCGACCAATTATCAATCAAAAAATTATAACCGCAATCATTGGATGATAGTGTTACTCCAAGGAATCAGACGTTATAACCACTTTATTGCTCAAGTATGCATAGCTACATTGCTTGACGAGTGGTCTAAACATCTTTGCCCAAGAATAAAACTGGTCTGAGTCCTAAAAATGAGATCCTTTCGACGCATGTATGACACGAATAGATCCATGGTCTTAAAGCTGTTCGAAAAGAGGAGCAGGATCAATATTTCCATCACCAAATACATCGCAAATAAATGGAAGAAAAACTACACCGCGATCTCAGTTCATGCCGTAAACTCGAATATGAAGGTACTGAGAAGGTTACGTCAGACGCGCCCTCTCCATCTTGGTGATGGACCAATGTATCAACAAGATGACCTCATTTCTGAAGAGGTACGTCTTGTCGTATAATCCTGAGAAATCAATATCGGTGGCTGCTTTTACCGTGGTATGGAAGTCGGCGGAGTGGATACGTCCCGTGTTCAGGGAGGAGTAGGGAATTATTCCGATGATGTTCAGAATAAACACCATCTAGTATTTGAACTTTGAGGTCACCGCGGAGGTCACCTTTGATCTCCGTTGTTGGCTTGATTTTTGCATCCGGACTATGAAGTACGCCTACGGTATTCTGAGTCTGAGAGTATCGTCGTAGTCTTATAACAGAGAGCATGAGTTCTTCCCTGAGAATCTGAGAAGCAGAACCAGGTTGCAACGGACACTTATTTAGTTAAGTCCTTGGAGACATAAAAGAATCGGTGTTTATTTCGGCGTCATTTATGCCTAAAAATAGGATGCTTAAAACAATGCATTGTTACTTCTTCATATTTTTCTGACACATTTCTTCTTTCTGTGTGACTTCGAAATCCTTGTCATTTGCTATCGATCCTGCAGTTTCTTTTTTAGTGAAACTTTTCTTTATTTTATCTGGTGTGTATTTGGTTGAGAATGATATACAGTGTGTTAATTAATTATCGTACCCGACGTCATCATAGCAAGTATGCAACCAAATATACAAATCGCGTATTGCAATACCAATACTGTGATATTGGTTGCATACTTGCAATGATGACGTCGGGTACGATAATTAATTAACACAGTGTACATCTTTTGCATGAGTAATTTTACTTTCTTATCGTTCTTAAATAGGTCCAAATTCACTACGTCACTTATATCAGAATTATATAGTTACTTCTTTTATTCGTTTTCCTCTATGCTATATTTACGAGCCCAATTGTTTCTTGTGTTTTGAAGTTGCTCATTGAATAACTTCCTTTCCATACTTTTTTAGCATTACTCTAATAGACTTTTTGTTTGTATCCAAACTACCCCGTGCTTTTACAGACAT